TTGCACCCATTCCTCATAGCTTAGCAGATAGCTGTCTCGGTATACTCAAGGTGTGTAATGTGCCAAAAGGTAACATAAATCAACCAGAAAGTGGGCATTGAAACTCCTGGCCTTATTTGTGTTTGTTTCAGCTTTCACTTCAGTCCGATTGGTGTGGATCTTGAGTTCACAGTAAACAGTGAGTAAGGTCAGGCATAGTGGCTATAGATCTGAACTGAGTACAGACTGTCTTGGCTGAGAATAAATAGAAATTTAAGATGTTCCAAGAACATTTAGAACTGAAAATTTAGTTCCTTCTGGACATGGCTGGAAATCTGATCTTTCACGAGGCAGTATTTCAGTGAACTAGAATTCGTGTGGCTTCTGTCCTGTAATTCTTGCTGCTTCCTTCATGTCTTCCTCTTCTTCCTCTTAGAAATTTATGTCCCACGGTATCACTCAGTCAGTTAGTAAGTGGAATTGTATGACCCAGGTTTGTATTCTAAGGTATCCATCCGTGCACTGGTGAACTGTGCAGTATGATCCTTGTACCAGATAAAAGCTCGAGATGATGGAAGGAGAGGCCACATTCTGGTACCATCCTAAACCATGGAAGAGTTGGAAGGGTAGCAGGGTTTAACACCTGCCTGTTGGAAAATAACCTTCTACTGTCTTCATATTGTTTTTTTTTTCCAAGCAATGATTTAAATACCTGCTGGCTTTGATACAGTTGAGGACAAGGCTGACCTATCAAAGCTGGAAATGTCTGTGTGATGAAAACGATTGTGAGTTAAGTTGGCTTAACGGTTTGTTGTGTTCAAGTTATTCTTTGACTAAATGACTTTGTTCCTCTAGCTTTGTGTCTGGAAAGAGAAGACACTTTTTAAAAGACCGAAGACTCCAAGGGGGAGATGAGACAGGGGTGCTGCACAATTTATGTCTCTCGGGACTGACGCTGGGTATCGGTCTGACGCAGTTGGCTCTAAACTGATAAAAAATGTGCGGCAGTTCTTTCACACCACCATGTCTGTTCTGTGGTGTGGTGCTTTTCATGAGTGCATGTGTGTGTTTATATAGATTTTTATTTCTGAGAGGACTTTGAATTGCAGGATACCGTGCAGATTGTCCTCTAAGAAGCTATGCTACAACCTAAAACGTGGGTGTTTGGGGAGTGTAGAAATGTAGAGTAGTGACAGTAATAGAAATGTTGTTTTGAATGCTTTTTCATCTTCAGTTCCTGTGGGCTGTGGGTTAGTGCTGGGTCTGGCCTTTGTCTTTGTGTCTAGGCTGCTCTACCAATTTCTACTAGTTCGTGAGTATTGCTGACAGCTGCTACAGTCCGTGGGTAGTGTTAGTTCTCGCCAACCTGTTCACCATCCATATGAGTGCTTATTTAAATGATGGTATTCTCTGATGTGTGATACATTTGTGGAGTATGGTTCTGTGGTGGCCTTCACTTCTTTATTTTTCTCCTTTTCTTGAGCTGAAGTTACACAAAGTTTCTTCTCAAGTGCTGCTTGAGGATTCAGTCTGCAAAGAGCTGGTTCCAAGATGTTTGCAAAGAGAAAGCATACTGCTGAAGAGCTTTTCAAAAAAAAGCAACCTAGAGTTAGAGCAGCTTGAGAGAGGGAAGAAGCCATTTATGTCAAAACCTGTACCAGCTCAGAGTCAAGATAATCTCTCAGTCCCGGTCCAAATGCCAACATGAAAGAGAAGAAATGGAAGTGTATCTCGGTTGTTTGATCTCTTTCTGTTCTGATGTGTTTAGTCTGTAAAATGTAGGAGCTAGAGGAAGGAGGATAGCACATCTCTAGGAAACTACTTTACCTCTTTATTGCCTGTAGAGTCTGTAGTTCTGTGACCATGTTAGGTTGAAGTAAATTTTCCAGATTCCCTTAGCTGCTCACTCCTACCTTTTTGTTGTGGCTGCACAAGCATTTGTGTGGCCACTTAGTGAACCAAGTCATAGCAATAACGTAGTAAAAACAAAAGCAGCAAGGCGGGAGAAGGGCGGGTGTTAGTTTTAGTCCCTATCAGTTCCACAATCTGGTTCACTGTGTAACTGCACAAGCACTTCTACCAGCACAGAGGAGGGATTGACACTGGGCTGAAAGCAGATTTTGGCAGGAGGGGAGAGAGAGAGGCAGGAGTGTAGTGCCTGTTTGTGTTGGTTTATACAGATCATCAACTGTGGTGTCTGATTCCAACCAGGAGTAGGAAGGTGAGTTCCAGCACATATTGATCTAACGCTCTTTAATTGGTGTCGACAGCCATTACTAGATCTCTGAAGAAGCAAGAGATTGAATAAGAGAAGGCAAAAAACCTACACTTGGTTTTGATTCTTCTACCTCTTGCTCTAATCGACAAAACTTGATCTTCCAAAAGAAAGCCGTTGTCCTCTTATATCTCACTGTAACCGTGACCTTGTTAAGAGTAAGTAACCAAGGAGACTAGAAACCCCTGCATCAGTCTAATCTCTCTGTGTTGCAGTGGAAATCAGGAACCTTGGAAAGTGCTCACATCTTTTTTTTAAGAAACTGACAGAAGCTTTGATGTGTGGCATCAGTAGGATGCAGCTCCAGCCATTCCAGGGACACTGGAAGCCTTGCTTATGTTCCTTGTTCTGGTCTGCTTGGATACTCTTCTGAAATTTTATGATTTTGATGGAGGTCTTCATATTGCATACCTTGCTAGGTCCTTTGCAGAACTGTGGGAAAGATGAGTAATGAATTACAGTCATAAGAGATGTTCTTCAGGCTAGAGAATAAGAGAAAAACCACAGAGTATGGACAAGTTACTGAAAGGAAAGCTGAGGTTGTGGTCTGGTAGCCTCTCAGTTACTCTGTAGTTGTTGTATATGTTTTTACTCCATTGTAAATGCTGTTTACTTTCTCCACCTTCACTGAGGGTAGGGTAGTCTCTGTTAGAGAGGAAGAACGTAGGTTTGTTTACCACTGAGTAGCAGAAGTTCCTCAAAGTCATACTTCTAGGTTACCTCATGGTAACTTATTCCTGTGCCCATATCTGTAACTGAACGGTGAGTTCCTTAGAGTTCTGAGTAAAGCTATTTGGAAAGAAAACAGATAAAGTAGTTCTTCAGACTGAAGGCAAAAAGATCTACTTGATCATCCCAACTTCATCTCGTTCCTCTCAAGTTTATCTGCGCCAAGATACTTGCAGAATATTTTGGATCAAGAGCTGCTCAAGATCCAGTCAAGAGTTGGATCTGCAGGACAGATTCTACAATGTCTTCAGTGATATTGTTAAAATGAAGAAGCAGGAGCTTTGTGTCTGTGTTTTCTCCTTTGTTCAGAGAAGATAATTTAGAGAAGTATTGCTGCTCAGAGAAGGTAATTCATAGTGCTGTCACTTAGGAACCTACAGCGACTGTAATTGAGGATCTAATAAAGCCCTGCCAAGAAGGCTTATAAAATGTGGGTGTTTTGTGTGTCTGTGTGCGAGGGTTACGATTCCCTTCAGTTCATTATTCCATAATTAATACTTACTGACTGGTATGGTTTTCCTTTTTTTTGATAAATTGTATACATATGGTTTTTTGTGTGTTTTTGTTCTTGCTGGGTATTTGGGGGGGGGGGAATGAATAAAATTCCCAACTCTGTACCTGGAAAGTGAAGGGCTGGGAAAAAAGTAAATACATTGCTAGACTTTGAACGTGGTTACGAGGTGCTGACAGTTACAATGCCTTTAACTTTTGGTTGTGAAATAATGAGAGAAACATCAAGAAAATGGTCTAATTTTGCTGAGATTTATGGGTTGTTAGTAAATCTGTGTCTGTTACACTTTTATACCGATAAAATCTAAACTTTATGCTGCAGAATGGTTTTGGTAGAGTAATAATAATTCTCTGGATTCTGTGATAGCCTTAGGATGTAAACATGAACTGAAATAGAAACCTTACTCTGAATATACACCAAAAGGCAATCAGTTAAGTTTTTAAAATATAAAATAACATTATTAATGCTCAGTAAACTTGTAGTACATTTGAGCACCTTTGGGATGCTCAGTAAACTTGTAGTACAGTTTGAACATCTCTGATTTGAGAATTTCTGAGAACTTTCAGATTGTTTCTAAATGCAAGTAGGGAACAATGTGATATGGAACTTGATTACTTTTCAAGATTTTATTTTTCTCTCGTAAATTCAGTGAGGTATGAATGGTGGGATTGGCGAGAACAACTTTACAGTGCTTACTGAATTCTGGATGTCTATTAAGCATAGTTATGGATAAATAGTAATGTTGCAGTAAAATGCCAATTTTGCCCAGAGGATTTTTCTGTTGTAAACTGAGCAGAGAAAGTAGCTGTAGTAGGAGGCATGGATATCAGGAGTAATTGGTGAAGATGCACAAAATACATGAAATTGAATAAAGTAAATGAAAGAAACCGTATGATTTACAAGTAAAACTTTTGCTATTGCAAACTGCAGTGTGCAGTTCTGTATCTTCACAGATAAAGTGTTAGAGATCACAGTTGTGTGCGACTCTGGAGATCGTTCTTGCTCTAAGCCACATCCAGGCTTGGTAGGGTGAGGGGCTTTATATCAAACTGGACTTCTCTTGATATTACCCCTTCTTTAGTTATTCTGTTTATCAGACAAGTAAAGTTCAGGTTGGGTTTTTGACACCACCTTCAGTGGTGTTTAACTGTACAGAATTGCTAATTAAAGCTGCTTTCCCAAGCGCCGTAGGAATCCCAGGGATTTGCCTAAATGATACTTTTACCTCAAACCATTTCACAAGGAGCTCTTTGCCAGTGAGATGCTGCTTTGTTTGTCTGTGGTCTTTCTTGAGATCCTCTTCTACTTTTTTGTGTATTTTTCATCTCTCACTGCTTTTGTGGGCATGTGGTTGTGGTTTTATACTCATGAAGACAGAGATCTGTAGATGGCCATGACTGCACAGAACACTGAAGCTTTTTGGGAATGTGATGAAGGTCATGGAGTTACCTACGTGTGTTTGGTATTCCTGATTGTGCCTTTGACACTCTTGCTTTTCTTCATCATAGGTTGAGTTTGCCAGATATTTCCAAGCAGCTTCTGTTCCCCAAGGCAGTCCATCACGGCTGACCGGATAACTGGCCACTGGATCGATGAAGAGGAATTCACTGAGATGACATAGGGAGGGGTGTCAAGGACAATGGTGCAGAAAAAGAAGATCTGCCCTCGGTTACTCGACTACCTTGTGATCATTGGAGCCAGGTAATGTAAAAAAGTCTCAGCACCACTGTTGCCTGGGTGGTGGAGTGGGGATAAACAGCCTAGCATCCATTGATGAAGCCTTGCTTGGTGTTGTCTGGAACGCGTGCGTAATGCTACCGTAACAGGAGCATCTGCTTGGGCTAGAGCACTGTTTGAAAGACACTAGTGCAGCCCAAGGTTTTTAATTTGCGGTCTTCAGGCTCCTTTTCAAGGGTCTGCAAAGGGTGACTAGGAATAGCCAATTTGTATATCATAGAATCACAGAATGGTTTGGGTTGGAAGGGACCTTAAAGCTCATCCAGTTCCAACCCCCCTGCCAGCAGCAGGGACACCTTCCACTAGACCAGGTTGCTCAAAGCCTCATCCAACCTGGCCTTGAACACTTCCAGGGAGGAGCAGCCACAGCTTCTCTGGGCAACCTGGGACACTGTCTCACTGCCCTCACAGGGAAGAATTTCTTCCTCAGCTCCCATCTAAACCTGCCCTCTTCCAGTTTAAAGCCATTTCCCCTTGTTCTGTCACTACCTACCTTTGTAAAAAGTCCCTCCCCAGCTTTCTTGTAGGCCCCTTAGGTACTGGGAGGCCACTAGAAGGTCTCCCTGGAGCCTTCTCTTCTCCAGGCTGAACAGCTCCAGCTCTCAGTATGACTCTTAGCCTATATACCTGAAGTACTTTGCTTCCACTGGCATCAGGCTAGAGGGATTTGCAGATTGAAAATACTGAAAACCACGTGTAGGTAAATACTAGTTTGTGCTACTTTTCCAGCTTTTGATGTGTAGTCTGTAAACTCAGTTTCAAAAAACAAAAAAAAGAATCTGGAACTTTCCTACTTGGCTGTTTCTCCCTCTAATACTCACTTATCCTCATAGGAATGACATGAATGCTTTCTTTTTTTAAAGTCTTATTAACTATCAATAGATAACATGTTATGCTTGTTTACTTAAAGCAAATATGAAATGGGGGGTTGATACGTGTGTGCTCTTTGTCAAATACACAGGTACTCAGTAAATGTTATTTTTCTTTATTCAAAGTTTATGCGGTAACTTTCTGCCAATCTGTTTGATGGGTGTATTCCAAAGTCCATTTTACTTTCATTTCTAAATATCAGTGGTTTATGTTCATCAGCCTGGTGCTTTACCTCTCGCTTTCTTTTCGGAATACTTTGAGTGCAATATTTAAATAGGCTAAGTGGAGCAAATGACATAATCCTAAGTAATAATTATTTTTATTATTGTATTTTATGGACCAAATAATTTAATGGTTTAATTAACTCTTATTGTCTCTAGGAGAAAAAAACCCAAGTTTTCCATATGAGTGTCATCGACTAGGAAAAGAAGGAGGAAGAAATATTAACTGCTTCCTCCAGTGATGCTTTCAGTGCCTGATGTTCTCACTTAAAAATTTGCTAGCCTGGCTTCTGGCCTCCTGCAGTTCTCTGGCCTTTTGCTGGGCGGCAGGAGCCACACAGCTAATGCTCACAGGTCTCTTGTCTCATTAGATGCTTCAGCAAACGTCTGTGGTAAGAGATGGAGCTGACTGAAGCAGCTCCTACTGCAAAGTCCTTAGGAGCTCCATGTGGCCTTTACCATTACATCTCGTTCACCATGCAATGCTTTTTGGAAGTATTCCCTTTTATTAGATGCAGATTTTATAGATGTCTGTCTTTGTAGCTAATATTACTGCAAAGGCCTGAGCTGATGATATATGCACTGGTACTTTGTTGCTGACATTTTTTTAAACCATTTACTGCCAAATAGACTCTCTAAACAGTACCAGCATTATCTGACATTTCTTCTTCAGCAGATGATGCATTAATTGTGTGCACTAATATATAAATCTTGTTAGGCTTTCTTTTTGCTTTTTGTACAGTGTTTCAATACTTAACTCTACAGGCAGTGTAAATTTGTTACTAGTTTATGCTTTATTACTAAAGCATTTCTTTAATAAATTATGAGTTTGGGAGATTTAGTCAGCAGAGCTATTTACACTAGTGATTTTCTTTTGTGAATTATGAACATTCTATTACTGCTTGTTTGGGTTTTCTCACCTCTCAGATAAGAGAAAAGCAAGAGTGGTTTGTATTTTGAAATGGGCAAATGTGAAGTATCGAGGTGAGAAAATGTCTTAAATGATATCCCATGGGAGACTGATGGTGGAGCCAGGTCTCCCACATCCCAATTAGTGAACATGATACTAAATGCTAATTACTTCTGAAAATGGTGAGAAATTAGAATTTATAGCAAAGGAGTCAAACCAAAGAGAGGTTGTTCTGGGGACATATTTGTCTTCCTTCCCTATGCAGATCTCCTACTATTTCTCTGCCAGTTATTCAGTAATTTTCATGGAAGAGTAGTGGTAGGAAAATAGTTAATACCTGGAAGGAATTTGTTCTTCTGGTGGAAAATTAGGAATAAACAGTATTGCCTTTCTGTCTTTGTGTTTCTTTAGTGACCTGTGGTACAGAGGTTGGTGAGCCACAGTGTTAAATACATCTGAATATTTGAAATGAATGTTACTACCCAGCTTTTGTAGTAACTTACACTTCAAATCCAACTTGAAAATCAAACACAGAAATATATATATCCACGGTTGCTGGAACTTTTTAATGAAAATTTTACAGGATGAGATTTGTATCATTCCACCATTTATCCCAGTTCTTTCCTAGTAAATTCTCGTTTTTCCCACTTAGGAATTGATACTGGATTTTCTCATTTAATTTTTCATCTTGTTCATAAATGTCTGAAATCCAGGGGGTTTTCCTCTGACCGTATATTTGGAGAGGGACAATGTATTTCCTACCCAAGTGTTGCCTAGAGACCCGTGTGGTTAAATTCATTTTGGAAATCAAAGTCAGGGAAACATGACAGTACGATGTCCTCCTGGGAGCAACATGCTCCTGGAAGTCTTCTTCTCAGTCAGATTTGGACAGGCTCCTTGATAATGATGGTGTAGGCTCTTTTATTTAACCTTTCTGCAGCTGTGGCCTTGTGCTAGTGATAGAGCGTTGTGTCTAGAGACTGAGAAGCTGCTCTTTCCTTGGGTAGTAGGGGAGAGAAGAAACAAAGATGAAGCTGAGCCCACAAGCTCTTGATATGTTAATTGGGAGATGCCAAAGGTTTTTATTGGCGTTAGCCAACTAAGTATGGGTTTTTTGTTTGCTTTTTTTGTAGGCAGCCAAGTAGCGACAGTGTTGCTCAGACTCCTGAACTGCTGCGACGTTACCCTCTAGAAGACCATGTGGACTTTCCTCTGCCACCTGATGTTGTATTCTTCTGCCAGCCAGAAGGATGCCTGAGCGTGCGGCAAAAACGCATGAGCTTCCGTGATGACACTTCCTTTGTCTTCACGCTGACAGACAAGGATACAGGTGTCATTCGCTATGGAATCTGCGTCAACTTCTACCGCTCCTTCCAGAAGCGCGTACCCAAGGAGAAGGGAGAAGGAGCAGGGGGGCATCGAGCACGAGAGGGACAGAAAATCCCCAAGTCTGGGGATGCATCTGCACCTCAAGAGGAAGCGGCCACCGAGAATTCGGAGAGCGGATCTTCGCTGCAGGCTCCAAGTACAGAGTCCACCCCAGATGTGAATCGGTCACCGCGCAGTAAGCGTCCGGCCAAGGGCAGCCATCGCTCTCGGAACAGCACCCTGACTTCTCTGTGCATCCTTAGTCATTATCCCTTCTTCTCCACCTTCCGTGAGTGTCTGTACACCCTCAAGAGACTTGTGGACTGCTGTAGTGAGAGATTGTTGGGCAAGAAGTTGGGGATTCCTCGTGGGGTGCAGAGGTATGTTGAGAGGGAAGAAAGAACTTTTTCCTCCCGTTGTTTGTGCCCAGGGCTGCAATTGTCTGCATGGCAAATTGTGGCTCCAGGTGCGGTGGCAGAAGCAGCCAGACACCAATGGTTGACCTTTTTGTTGTTTTAACCCAGGATCACAGTAAGAAAAGTAAATTTTTCTGATGATTTCTTTAGAACTTCTCTGTCTGATTCTGTCACCTGGTATGATTCTCATTTTTGATACACCTAAGGAGGCTCTATCCTGCTAACAACTGACTGCACGTGATCTTTTCTGATGCTGTTACTGTTGCTTTGGTGTAGAAGCTCCGTGGCAGTGTACATCAGGAGTGATTCTTTGGCAAATTAGAAACAGCCAAGAAATAACAGAGAGAATTTCCACTTGGGGCATGAGGGAAATGGTGAAAGTGTGCTTAATGAGCTTATGAAACAATCTGAACCTCGGCGTGGGAGAGAAAAGACTAGAGAAGCAGGAACGGCTGAAAGAGATCAAAGTACAATATTTGAAAGGGAGAGGGAGGAGAGGTAGAAAACAAAGGAGTTGTTTAGGAAGCATATGGGGATGGGGGTTGGTGACAGCAAATTAACAGGAACTTGGAGTATTTTTAGTGTAATGTAGTAATCCTGCATAGCTGCTATTATCTTGTTGGGTATGTAACTAAAGCTGTTGCACTGTAGGGTACAGAAAGAACAATGTCTTTATGTATATCAGCCATGGATGTATATCTGTGCTGTTGTGCCTGACATCTGCATTCCAGGATGATATTTTTCTTTCCAATATATTAACTGAAAAGAGAAAATATAAAATGAATCTCTGGAGAAGGAAGAGATTATCTCAATAGTAAGAGGGATGGGGCTGTGAGATAGCTCATAATGTGAATTAAGTAGCTTGGTACACTCCAAATTAAACTTATCAAAAGCAAGAAATGACAGGGCATCTATCATTTTCATCTTTATAAGCTCTTTACTTTCTGCATGAAAGGGGCAATCTGTTCCATTCACAGAGCAGTAGCCTACTTCTTGGGTTACTGCCCTGGAATAGTTCTAGGAGAGTGTTCTGGGCTTATGACTGATCCTGCATTAGCAAATTTATCACCTGAATCCACTGATTGTTGAGAAAAAAATGATTCTGTCAGAACAAAACCTTTTTTGTTTTGTAATGGAAGTATCACAGAATCACAGAATGGTGGGGTTGGAAAGGGACCTCGGGAGATCATTTAGTCCAACCCCTCTGCCAAAGCAGGTTCCCTACAGCAGGTTGCACAGGAAAGTGTCCAGGTGGGGTATTAAGGGAGCTTATTTTATCACTTGATTTAGTCTGATAATTACTGAGGCAGAAAAAAGCTAAATTTAATGATTTTCCTCAACTCTGTGAGCTCATCTGATTTTTGAAAAGAGTGCTGAAGTATTCCAGTGTTTGAATGACATGTGGTATTTGAAAAATACTCTCATGGGGCATAATTCTTAACGAGAAGAACTGAGTGACAGGTGAGGAGGGCAAGAGAAGGAATACTGAGCATACATCTCCGGGAAGAGTAAAGCGGCAGGTTTGAATTACCATGTGGTTTGCAAGCTGTGACCTGGAAAAGTGGACTAGTTTTGAAGTGGTGGCAGAATAAAGGTGAAACTGAATCCTTACAGCTTGCAGAAAGATCTAATGTCCTGTACATTACAAGCAGCTGAAGGAAGAGTGGAGGATGAGAAGCATCAGCAGTTTCTGAGAGGTGTATAATCTCAAATTGCCCTTCTTTTGATCCCTCCAAATTTCTCTGATTTTTCTTCCTTTCTGAAGCCTCCAGTGTCATCATCTTTTTTCTTCTTTTTTTTCTTTTTTTGGGTTGTGAGCTGTAAGGTAGAGCCTCTAAGCTGAACCCATACCATTCCAAGGCATCTATTACAGTAACTGAATATATTTATCAGGCTGAAGTGTTTTGCAGAATGGCTACAGCAGCTTTGCAGCCTTCACTGTGCTACAACGTTATGGGCTGAAGAGGACAAGCCACTTTGCTTCCTTCCTCAGACCCTGTTTCAAGTTTTGAGGCTCTGAAGGCCCTGAGCAATACTGTATGTGCTTTTTGGCCAACCTGTCTGTGAGCTACAAGTTTGCAGATTGCTAGCTTAGAGCATGGAAAAATTGCCACCTTTTTTTTGCTAAGGTGCCTGAATGTTCTTTAGACAGCTTTCAGAAATTTATATTCTCAGCTGCAATGCATCCACTTCTGCCATGGGTTATTCAGCTCTTAAGAATGAAACAATGTGATTTAGGTTAGTTTGAAAAAGAGTATTTTATGCCAGAACATCTGGGAGATCTTGGTGGAGCGTATTTTTATTATCTCAAGTTTAGTTCCTGTTTTTGCAAAGGTTTGCAGGACTGCTGGAAGCAGAATCCTACAATTGATCTGCCACAATTCTGGACAGGCTATGAGAGAACCAACCCTATGTGCGTGCTGAATTTCAAGCACCAGGGTGATCTTCAGAGGTCTGGACCTAATTGAACCCTTTAAATGAGTGAACTCTCAGATGGAAGCGACATACTTGTGTTGATTTTTGCCACAGAAAGATTTATACATCCCCACAGTGGTTGTTTCAGTCAGCTTAGATCCCTACCTTCCATTCCTCTGTATGATCAAATGTTTGTGAGCTGCATCTTTTAATTCTTGGTAGATCTTCCCTTCCCCTGGAAGAGCCTTGTGGAATGGCTGTCCATCCAAGCTCTTGGAGTATTAACCTTGTTCTCCTTGTACAGGGACACAACGTGGCGGATTTTCACAGGCTCCCTCCTGGTAGAAGAAAAATCTAGTGCATTGCTACACAACTTGAGGGAGGTCGAGGCCTGGATATACCGGCTGCTCCGTTCACCGATGCCTGTTGCTGGTCAGAAGCGGGTGGATGTGGAAGTCTTGCCGCATGAGTTGCAGCCAGCTTTGACCTTTGCTCTTCCTGATCCATCTCGCTTCACCTTGGTGGATTTTCCATTACATCTGCCTTTGGAGTTGTTGGGAGTGGATGCCTGCCTGCAGGTGCTTACCTGCATCCTTCTGGAGCACAAGGTAAGAAGGGAAAAGTTGTTCTTTGGTAGGTACATAGGAGCCAGGGCAGGCTGGGTGTGTAGAACAGTTGTCTCCTGCACTGTCTGGAATCAGTTTGTCTGCAGGGGGAAGGAACAGCTCCTTCTGAGGTTCCTGTTTTGAGAAGTTTTGCTGTCACTCAAGAAGAGCACCCGAAGCTTGTTTTCAGACAGATTAATGGAGGCTCCTCCAGCTCACAGACATCAAATCAGAGGCCTGCAGGCTGTGATGGTTGTGTACGCCCGGCGGGAGGATTCAGAGGGAGTGATTGCTGCAGTGCTAACCTGAGTTTCTTTGGTTGCAGGTTGTGTTGCAGTCCAGAGACTATAATGCTCTCTCCATGTCTGTGATGGCCTTTGTGGCTATGATCTACCCACTAGAGTACATGTTCCCAGTCATCCCCCTGCTTCCCACCTGCATGGCCTCTGCAGAACAGGTACCTGTTTTTCCTTTATTGGTCTTTTGCAAAGGATGTTTCTGTGATGTCTGAAACTTACATAGGAATAGTCTTTATTTCCTTCCCTGCTGTTTTCTCAGGGATTGCAGCAAAGTCTGCCTTGCAAATAAAATTCTTTGAGCACCAGTAACTGTTTAAATCACAGGTAACACCACTTATTTAGGCTATCTTCAAAGCATGCTTAGTGAATAGTGTGATTCAAAGCGGTAGTTGGCCGTAGTTCCTAAGCAATGGACTGAAAAGCTGTAGATCCACAATATTATGATGAGTATTTACCTTCTACCCTCCCTGCAACTGAGTATGAAGGTTTGCTGGGGAGGGTCCAGAACAATATTTAAGGACGTTTGAGGGCTCTTGAATCAGGGTTTGGAAACTATTGCCTGCAGTTTGGTCTCCTCAAAAATAGGAAGTGTTGGGTTACTTCAGCTGGGCGCCTGGGTTTTGCCGATAGTCGTTTCTCTGCAGGAGCTCATTATTTTGCTTGGAAAGATGGAATTCAGGTCATCTTACTACTTCAGTGCTGTCCTGTATGCTGCAGGTTTGTGCTTGTACTGTCCCTTGGAGGTGACCGACTGTTCTAGATTTAAAGAATAAATCAGCCTCCCAAGCCACTGGTCTCAAGCTGCTACGTGCTTTATTGATCCAAACGTTTTCTCTCTGCTGATTCCTTTGTCAGAAACAATCTGAATTTCCACTTAGGTTTTCTATGTATGTTTGAAAAAATGCCTCTATTTCTCGTGCTTCCTAGAGATGTTACTGTTTTGAAACCAAATTGCCATTACAAGGGTGAGGGTAGAGCCATATTTACAATATTACATATTCACAGACTCAGTTTGTGTTGAGGGTGTATTCATCTGTGATTTGCTGTTTCTCTGGTTAGGCTCTTACTCTGAACATCTTTTTTCTTGGTCCACAATAGGCAAGGCAAGCTGTTAGATTAGCTGAGTTTTTTTCCAAAGAGCCATGTAAGTTACATCACTGGGAGGGGGAACAGAAGGCTGAAATTTATTTTCTTCTAGATGAAAATTGAAACTCTCTGAGCAGCAGCTTTCATTCTTCTTTTTTTTTTTAATTATTATTTTTTTATGAAATGTTATATTGTATGGAATTAATTATTTATTTATCAATACCTTGTGTGTTGTCTCTTCTGCTATAAACATATGTAGTTAATAAATAAATATTTGAGAAGAATATGATGATATCAAATGCAGATCTCATCCTTATTAAAGTCTGTCTTTCTCTCAGTTGCTTCTAGCCCCTACACCTTATATCATTGGTGTTCCAGCAAGTTTCTTCCTTTACAAACTGGATTTTAAAATGCCCGATGATGTATGGCTTATTGACCTGGATACCAATAGGGTAAGTGGTGCCCATCAGGACTTGTGGCTTTGTTTCCAGGGAACTGTGCACTTTCATCGGTGCACCCACAGAGAATTTAAGAATGCCTGGCCTCAGTCTGCCTTTGTCACTCCTCTCTTAAATTTTAGGATTCCATTCCTTGTTGTGTCTCAAGGTCTCCATTTCTTTTGCTCCTAAGGCATTCTTTTTCAGTTAATCCATCTGGCTATGTCATTAGAAGATAAATCTCTCTTCTTGAGAGAAGATAAAGCTTTCTTCTTGAGAAACTGTCACCCTGTCTCTTATAGCTCTACCTAAGAAAGCCAGTCCAGTAAGAGCCTTCCAGCAGCATTGGTTGTCATGATTCAAATGGGACCATGTATCCTGCTTTCTAATGGGGCATGAGCAAGGTTATTTCAAGGGAAATGTGTATAACATTTTCTACTTGATGGAAATCCCAAAGGATGAGTGTGGGTTCATTCAAACTTCTCTTTTTTATGGTAAATGATTGATTTACCATCCATTGTTTGTGGTATTCTGAACAATAATAACTGTAAAAAAGTGAAAATCAAAGTATCGGTGCAGGTGTCTCTGTGTGGGGGTTGTGTTGTAGGGGTTTTTTTAATTAATTAATTTACTTTATGACTTTTATTTCTCAGTCTCTGGAGTGGTGGAGATCCAGAACAGAATCTCCTGAAAATGACTACAACTGGGGAATTTTTAGTCTGTTGCTGTGTTTAATTCCAGGTGATTGTTCCCACAAATGCAGAATCTTTGCCAGCACTGCCAGAGCCAGAAGCTTCAGAACTGAAAAAGCATCTGAAACAGGTAATAAGCACTTTGAGGAAAGGACTCAAAGTAGAACTTAGCAGATGTAGTCTTGCACAGCTCTTGTGCTCCACTGGACAGGAATGCAAGTCAGCAAACAGAAAGCAAAATGTATTAAAAGCAGGTGTGTCTCCTGGCACATCAGATGGGTGTATCGGGCTGCTAGAATACTCTTGATCAAGAAAGTGCCCCTTGGTCAGTCATGGACAGGTCTGCTTCTCTGAATGTGGAGTTGGGCTACTCAATAGGGTGGCTGATTAAACAAAGTTCTGGGGGTGTCTTTTGAGCTCTCTGAGCTGTATGACTTTCTAACATTGTCTTCTCCTGACTAAACTGAATCCGAGACTTTCATCTTATTTCAGATCTCTCTGTAGTTTCTCCAAAGGCCTTCACTGTAATTTTTGTTATTTATTTCATTTTTTGCTGTCTCTGCTGCTTCCACCTTTGTAGGGGAAGCACAGGACTATGAATTTTCTGTCAGGCTGTTTAAGATGCCTCTTTCGTAGAGTTGACCAGTTAGAACATCCCCCATGTTAGAATACAACAGCATTTTGAGCTCGAAAAGCCATTATCAGTTGATACAGATGTTTAGTGGTAGGTATCCAGTTGCTGCTTTTCTGTCTTAATGGAGGGAGTTGATTTGGAAAAGTGAGTGGTCACTGAGGCTTATAACTGCAGTTAATTTCTTAGCCAGGTGAGGGAGAATTTGAAATGCTCCTGGACGCTACAGATGGTTCCTATTTCTTTAACTGTTGTTTGGGGATAACTTGATTCCAGTTGGTGCAGAAAGTTCCAGATTCCTCCTTACATTTGCCATGTGGGCTTTAAACTCTGACCTGATCCATCCAGCTGTGATCATCTTTGTTTCCCCTCCATTCACAGATCTGTGTGTGAGGTCTCAGTCTCTCCTCTCAGGTCCTGCTAAGCCATTAATCAGCTTGGGTCATCCTGGCTGATCGTGTCAAGCAGGTTTTATCTCTTTATTTCTGTTTTCTTTATGCACGCTGCATGCAGTATCTGAAGGTAAAGTGTGTTACTAATGTGATGAGGTCTGCTGTCTCTCTCTCCTCATAGACCAGGAGAGCAAAGTGTGTAACCTCTATGACACCCCCAGTACCTGCTGTCAGCACAGATGGAAGCGATGTTGTTGCTTGAAGTTTTGTTAGATCCACCTTCCCCCTGCTTCTGCCTCACCCCCTTGCAATTTCAGGCACTATTCAGCAAAATTTTTTCACTAAGGCCAAGTTGAATATCAGAAGAACTCATTGCAATTTCCTTGAAGATATATTTAAAATTCTCAAGAGTGTTCACCCAAATTCAGGTTACACCCCTGTGTATTCATGTAGCCATTATCATTAAGAGTTGACCATTGACAATGGAGAAGGAGCACTACTGGTTGCTGTACAAAGTAGAGAAGACTAAATTGTGGCCCATGTCACTAAGGTTAACAGCCTCGTGTGCCTTCGGGTCATGGTGTCAATGAATAAAATTCAGGATATCTGCTTTTAAACTGCATAGAAAGTTCTTAGCTGCAGCAGTAAGGACAGCAGCCTTTCCACTTTTTAAGGTGACCAGATGTGAATGTTTGGGGGTGGGGCAGTTAGACCTCTTTCCCAAGATGTGCCTATTTTGTGGTCCCTTTTATTTCCTCTCATTTGTGATATTTGGTAGTAATAGATATGTTTTTTTTTTCCTTCCATCTGTTTCTCTGTGGTCATGTGTTCGTCTTGGCTCTGATGGGCTGCTGGTGTTATCATATGATCTTCCATCTTGCCTCCAGTGTCTGGTTAGCATGACTGCAATCACTCAGAAACAGATGCTCACTCCTGACAACAAGGTTCTTTATTTTATTCTTTTCCTCTCAATTTTCCATTTTACCCTTTTCCTTTGGAGTTTTGGTTTTTGTTTTTGGTTGATGTATTTATTTACTTTTGAAATAAAAAGATGAAGGCTCAGTGGGCAAATGGGAGAAATGAGGAAGATTTAGGATAGGTCTGGGTGTCCAGGACTGATTTACCACTCGTGCTGCTCCAGTGCATTTCCCTGAAGATGTTATGAGGGTTGAACAGGATGGTAGCTTTATGGAGAGATGAAGACCTCATTCAAATAGGAAGTGGAGGTTTGCAGAGATACAGGCAGATGCCTGTGTAAACGTGTTTTCATGTTGTCCTGGGATATCAAACTCACTGGGTGAATGGGAAGGCAAGTTTCAAGGCCTCTAGGTCCCAGGATGTATTCAGATCACACATGGGAATAGCTCTCCAGTAAGTTGTACGCAGTGCCGTACTACTAGTGGTCCAATTTGGACTATTTGTTTTCATGTCATGAATGATCTAGCAAAGTGGACTTCCCTGCTACCCCTTGGCTGACTCCAGGACTGTTTCAGCATTGAGGAGATCATTTTGACAATCCACATGAAGGAGGGCCTGGAGATATTTGTTGACTCAGCGTAGGAGATGGTTTAAGATAAACTAATGGAGCATGCACAATTGTTGCAATTGCCTAGAGGGCAGGGTAGCTCTGATCTCTCCTTCCTTGAATAACTTTTCTTACTGAGTGTGTGCATAATGTTGTCCTTTGTTAGGCACTGGCCAGCATGAGTCTGAATACTCAGCCCATTCTTAATTTAGAGAAGTTCCATGAGGGGCAGGAGGTGCCACTGCTGCTGGGAAGACCGCAGAATGATTTGCAGTCTACTCCCTCCACAGAATTCAACCCTCTGATCTATGGAAATGATGTGGACTCTGTGGATGTGGCTACCAGGTGAGGCTGAACAGGAAAGTAGCATTGAGTCTTCGTAAAGTTTGCACTTGAAGGCAGCACAGACACTTCTGTGGGTCCTGTGGTAGAAGCAGCATCTTCCATGTTCTGCTGCAGGTCCTGCTTTGCATCAGGGTCAAAAAAGAACAGAAATTACAGTGTTCATCTCAGTTCTATTAACTGCATGAACATAACTGTATCTTGAGGAGCTGTTTTGTTTCTTGTGTTTTCCTATAGATCATCCACTTTACCTGGACTTAGTCTGATGTTGTATCCTAAGCTTAAATTACAAGCCTTGACCTACACAAAAAGCTGGAGACTTAGCTGTCACCTCAGCTAGTGAATATGAGGACGATGTCCCTCATTGGGTGGCTATTGGTGTTGAGGTGGTAAATTAAAACAAAATAATTTATTGGTGGTTACCATTCTTCAGAGGTTTGAAACGTTGCCTACTGCATACCTTTTAAAGGCTCTCTGTCTTCTTTTCTGTTGTGTTCTGTGTTTTTACCTGATACCTTGTCCTCTGTTTCTTTTTAGGGTTGCTATGGTGAGATTCTTCAACTCCCCAAATGTTTTGCAAGGTTTCCAGATGCATACTCGCACTCTTCGACTCTTCCCACGACCAGTGGTGGCCTTCCAGGCAAATTCTTTTCTTGCCTCTAGGCCGAAGCAAACACCTTTTGCAGATAAGCTTTCCAGGACACAGGCAGTAGAATACTTTGGAGAATGGTCACTCAACCCTACTAACTATGCTTTCCAAAGAATTCATAACAGTAAGTTCTGGTCTTGCCTTTCCTGCACTTGGATGTAATGCAGGAACTTAAAAAGCTGAGAGATTCTAAGGAAGGACTTAGTTTAACACCATATTTGCTGGGGAGAGAATCTAGTTTGAGGAACATTTTTTTTCTATTTTTATGTGTGTGCTCATGTGTTTCTAGTGAGTTAGCCCTGCTATTAGCTACTCACACCTCCAATTAATTTTACCTCTTGTTTTGTTTGCTGATGGAGAAGTCTTGTAGCTGCCTTAGAGTAGAGATGGTAGCAAGTCTTCCTTTGTGCAAGACTTAGCAGTGGGTATCCTCACTGTGAACGAAGCCTTTGACACCAATAGTTGAGTTTAATTAACTGTCTCCTTGTTTTTTGTGCAGACATGTTTGACCCAGCGCTGATTGGTGACAAACCGAAGTGGTACGCTCACCAGCTGCAGCCCATCCACTATCGTGTCTATGACAGTAACTCCCAGCTGGCTGAAGCACTGAATGTCCCAGTAGAGAAAGAAACAGATTCTGATCCCACTGATGACAGGTTAGTGGGGACCATGACCCTAGTCATATGATAGTTACTTCAGATTGCTGGGCCTCTCCTCCTGCTTCTCGTTTTCAACCTTTTCCGCTAACCTGCCAGGTTGCTGTTTCATTTCTTCTGTCTGGGCAGAATACTGACACTGAAGTAAATTGTCTCACTGCTCTGTCATCACAGCAAGCTCTCAACCCTTTGCTAGTGTCTTCTCAAGCCTTCATTTAATGTGATTCTCCATTTGTGTTTTCCTGTTTTCTTTTGCTACCTGTATGCCACTGGACTTTTGGTGTTTCCTCCCACCCTAATGCTTTTTCTTACATGCTCTTCTTTCTCTAGTTATTTCTATTGCAGTACTACAAGTACTCACACCCATATTACCACTCTTTCAAATCTCTACTCAGTGCACATAGTTGTGAGAAGCTTGTTAGTACTACCCACTGCTTGAGACCTTGTGTGTTCAGTAAAGTGAGAGTAAACTTTGTTTTATAGTATTTTTGGTCATATTTCCCAGAGTTTTGCATTTAATTTTATTATTCTTCATTCTCTGCTGGCCTGTGAGATCTTTCAGGCTGCATCTTCAGTGTTCTACGCAGCACGAGTGGTCCTGACAGAGTGGGATTTATCATCAGTATAAAAAAGGAATGTTTTTACTTAAGATTTCCAGTTCCCTTCAAGTCATCCCACACACACAGAATTAATACACTATTCCCTGCTCACTTATGCTTGACCTGGTTAACTTGCTGAGAGCCTTTAAATGTCTTCCCATATTGTCTCTTCATGTACCTCAGAGTTATTTCATTTGTTCTGACCTTTCATGAATCTGGCTTCTGACTCTTGCCAGAAATTTGTTTGTAGAGACTATAATATCATGAGATTTTTAAAAGGCCCATGAAAACAGTGCTGATTCATGTCTTTGAAACATCGGGCTCTGCTATGGCTGTTATGCTGCCACTCATCTTTTTCTCACCTCTTGTGGCAGTGGCAGTGACAGTGTCGACTATGATGACTCAAGTTCCTCCTACTCCTCCCTTGGTGACTTTGTCAGTGAGATGATGAAATGTGACATTAATGGTGATACCCCAAGTGAGTAACTTTGAGCTTTACTTTCACAAGGTACACACAGGTTCCTCTTCTGTGCTCATCTGCACTGTGGGGAAAAATGCCTCCCCTAAGTCCTTGAATCAGAGCAAAGTATTGTTCCACTGTGCTCTTACTCTGAGGGAAAAGTGTCCTCTGTATTTCTTCTCCAGTAGCCAGTGGTAGGGTGAGAAACATTTCTCCTGCTTATAAACAGTGCCCTCCAAAGGACACTGGGAGGAGGAAGAACAGAAATAGGTGCTGCTGAGCAAAACTGTCTCACTAGGTCTGGAAACAACCTGCTGCTGCCTGTAGATACTGTGGAATATGGGCAGCAGAGTACAAGCTTTCTCCTGGCCCCCCATATTGGTTCTCAGTGCTGGCTTTAATGAGTCACTCTGTCCTGGTGGGGACAGGGAAATGAATTCTTTGTGGCTTATATGGAGGCTGCAGCAATAGCCTCTTTTGTGAGAGTGGGAAACTCTCACTTTCTTCAGTAAACTACATCTGGGAACGCCAACACATTTCCTGTGTCCCAAGGACAAGAGGTAATAATCATAAGTTGCAACAAAAGAAATTCTGCTTGGACACGAGGAGAAGATCTCCATGGTTAGTGCAGTTAAACAGGTTCCCAGGATCACAGTAGAATGGCAAGTTTTGGAGACTTTCAAAACTCAGTGGGACAAGGCCCTGAGCCAACCTGCTTTAATTTTGACATTACCCCTGCTTTGAGCAGGGACTTGGAGTAGATGACCTCCAAAAACCCTTTACAACCTAAATTTTTATGCAAGTTTACTGAGCAGTCCTTGTCTGCTAGGGATCTTTAGTTAGATGGGCAGAAAGCTGAGGAAGGCAGTGTTCTTTAATGCAAAATGATGTGTTTGCAGATGTTGACCCCCTGACTCATGCAGCCCTTGGTGATGCTAGTGAAGTGGAATTTGATGATTTTCAAGAATATTCAGGGGATCTGGATGAACAGGCCATGGACAGTGAAAACTCCCAAGAGAACAACCAGCCTCGTTCAAGTTCCAGTACTACAGCCAGTAGCAGCCCCAGCACTGTCATCCATGGAGCGAATCATGTGTGTACTGAGATGAGTTCAGCCCCAAGATCAGCATATTAGGGTAGAAAGAATGGGAAAATGCACGTGGTTCTTTCTGAGGAGGGCAGAAGCTCATAGGACTGTGAAACCATGCCCAGATTAAATTGCATGCTCTATCTGGGCTTGCTGAGCAAGGTGGAGTTTACTGGTACCCTCTTATGCTGGGACAGAGCATTCCTGTACATAAAAGCTCTTGTGCATTGAAAAAAGCAGCATTAACAGAGAGCAGTGGTTTGGACTGCAGGAATTGCTTTTACAGAGTCTGGAATGACCTGATGTGTTAGAGAAACAAGGAGTGGGGTGGGGTTGGATCAGGAAACTCATGAATCTGTGGTCGTTTAGGAGGAATGGGAGTTGCTTGCTTAACCACAAAGCAGGGTAATGGAGAGCCATTATCCTGAGCTAACACTTGCCAGTAAGATCTGTTTTACAGGGGAGTAAGTCCCTAGAATGATGCACAAATACTGCAGCAGATATAAAATCCTAGATTAGAGCCACGAGTAGTGGGGATGGGGTTGGGGTTGGGGTCCAGTAACAAACAGCAAGGACCCTGCAGACTTCCTAGTGTGAAATAATTGTTCTTGTCCTGCCCTTCAGTTGTATGTAATGCAAATTAGCGAACAGATCAATGATTTGACTGGTCCACAGGAGTCAGCAGATTCAGCAGAAATGGAAGAGAAGTTGGTTGCTGGATTTTCAAACCACCTCCCTTCCTTGCCACTGCAACCAAATTTTCCTAAGATAAGCTTGGATCGTCGTGAGAGTGACAGCGCGACCGGCAGCATGAGCTCCTCAGAAGGGGTGGTGAGGAAGCGAGAGTATGACAACCCCTACTTCGAACCACAGTATGGTTTTCCTACGGAGGATGAAGATGATGAGCAGGAAGAAAGCTACACCCCAAGATTTAACCAGAATCTCAATGGAAGCAGGTGAGTCCTTCTTGTCTCCTGCCCTTCTGTACAGCACTGTTGGGATTTCCATTTGCTTCATGTAGTATAACAGTCGTTTGTTCAAATGGCTTTTGCACCTGAAGTGTGTTGTTGATCACTTCCATTTAATATTGAAATTCTCTAAACCCTTCTGGTTTGAGTAGAGGCACTTGCTCAGTTCCCTCAGTTCCTTGTTTTTATGTAGGCAGTAGGAGCTAAGAGCTAAGGGAATTACCACTTCTTCCTAGAAACTGGTGATATGGTCACCTACTGATTTCTGGAAACCTTTAAATGATTTTTTAGGGGTTTTTTGGGTTTTTTTTAATGAAGCTTTGTCTTTTGGGGGAAGATACTATAATGATTGATGACATTGGGTTTTATGTAGTGCTCTTTCACCCCCAAATCCACCAATGCCCTTTTGCAGACAAGTTTTCAGCATTCGTGGAAAGGTAATAAAACCTGAATGCAAAGATGCTTCAATTATTTTTTTATATATATATATATAAA